CTCTTCAACTTGGCCCCATTAATGTTCCTTGGTCTGTTGACACCATATCCTGGTTCTGTGGTTTTACCAAAGTGGACTAACATTTAGTCCCAGAAATGAAGTCTTATTTTTTTTTATCAAATCCAAAGGGAGCCAAGAACAATGATTAATTTCAGGCCTAGAGAATCTAGACTTGCCAAGTCATTCTAGACTTGAGTTGGATTCTTTTATTACAAAGTGGTAAGCCTCCACAACCTGGGGTATAAAATGTTCTGAACCACCCATTCTTTAAAGCTGAATAAAACTAGGCGAGGTGATGTTAAATGGGGTTTAACATCACGTCCAAGATTATTGCACTTATATAGCGATGTGCATGCATGTGTATATGTGAGTCGCTGCTTGTACTAGTCTGGACTGATGCTGATTTATAGTGCCAGGCCACTGAGATACCATGCCGCAGTTTAACAGGAATACCCCACTCAGACACAGTATACTGACTCTGAGCTGACCAGTCCTTGTTTTAGCCCCTTAATGATGAGCGCCAGTCAGGGTAACAACAAGTATATTTTTTTTACGTCTTTTGGTATGAAATGGCCGGGGATTGAACCCATGACCTTCCGATCTCTGGGTGGACGCTCTACCACTAGACCACATAGGCATTTGACAAAAACTGGGGTCTAATGGCTACAATGTATGACTTCATCACTTATACAAGTGTCTGCATGCACTGTTGTTCATGCTATCAACCACTGGTTCAGACAGGCTACCTGGATTACAGCCTTTGGTTTACAGGCTGCCCTGATATAGCAGTGACATTGTTTGATATACTTTGCCATGAAAGAGTTTTCACTCACACCATGGCTTTAAGCGTTCAATCTCTTTCAACCTCCTCTGATCTCCTCCGACCTCCTTCTGCCTGACAGGTTGTATAATGTTTAAGTGGTCACTCTCCTCCCTCTCTGTGACATAAGGCTTGTCTGATTAGCTCTACATGGGTGGCTAGCTTGGTGTGAGATAGAGATAGATCTGGCAGAGATAGCACACAGTATTTCTTTAGTCCGGATTTCACAGCCATTAGACCGTCATTAATCCAGAATGCGTTGAGCCAGGAGCTGAGTGATGGATATACGGACAGACATTGTGTTTGGGTAATTGGCCTCCACAGGAATGTCTTACAGATGTCTTATTCGTCTGTCTGAAGTCAGTTTTCTAAAGAATTTTGAAAATGTTTGAAAGTAAGAATTCTTTAGTTAGCTATTTTCCTGAAATATGTTGTAAATATATTGCAATGATATTACAAAGCAGTTTTACTTTTCTAACATATAATTAGCGGAAAGTGCATTGTCACATTGCAGTATCTTATGAGGTGAAAGGCATCTTGCATTTGAACACATCAACTGTTATATTAGAAGAGCTCTCTTTCTTATTCACATTGCCAAATGAATCATGTACATAAAAATGTATAGTATGTTTCATCGCTATTTTGTGTTTTACACCCAGTGGAATCAGTTTCGGCATATAATCTTCGGTGGTTATTCTCTGGCATTGACATTTATTATTCAAGGACTGGTGAAAAAACCGAAAGGGGTGTCTAAGTCATAACTATATGAATATAGATATATTTAATGTATAACTCATTGACCAATTCCGTTGCCCCTTCTTGATTCACCAATGAATTTAATCATGTTTCATACACTTGGTTGAAAGTCCCAGTAACGAAAACACCTGTGTGTGGCCATTGATCTCACAAGACTACCTCTGTTATGGTTTCCCCAAACATCAGCATAATTGAACCAATCCAATTTACAAGGCTGTGCTTCATCCTTGCATGTGATACTATTGACATTGGCCCAGTCTAGTCTATTACCAGCTGATATATGTACACCATGCACACTACGATCTGACAGTGAGTGATCAGTTTCACTCCAGGTGTTGCACATTTCCTACCCGATCCATCACATGACTTGTACATTACTCCAGGCAGAGTGATGACAAGGCTACTGTTGGATGATGCCATATGAGGAGACTGTCATGTTTTATGTTTTTTACATAATTTGATTGTTTTGTTTTGATCTGGAAATTGTTTCTTCTTGGCCTGGAGGGATTATGGCTTGTAGAAAGAAATTGATATGAATGTTTGTCGTTATTTTGAATTTTGGAAAATAGCATCAATCAGAAAGCTGTGTTGGTGCAAATGAAGAAGAAAGTATTTGTCAAAATATTCATATTAATATTATATTTGAGGCTAGAATTTATTATTCATACTGTTTAATATTCCTCTCAAAAGGTGTAGTGAATTATGACACCTTCTTTTCAAGTAAAGCAACTTTTTAGGATAATGACATGAGTTTTTGACCTAATTTTTAGAGATTTTATGTCATCAAAGCTTCTAAGCTAAGGAGGGGCGGTCGGGTAGCCTAGTGGGAAAAGCGTTCGCTGGTCACGCCAAAGACCCTGGTTTGATTCCCGACATGGGTACAATGTATGAAGCCCTTTTGTGTGTGCCTCATCATTGTGTTTGTAAATGTATTTTGCTTCCAAACTGCTCCAAATTATATTGCTTACATGTTACTGGGACAACACAAGAGTTCCTGAGTTGGACAGAGCAAAAATGGTCAAGTGTCCTTTTTTTAGTTAACCAACCATTTACCAACTATTTGTTCGACCATAGTGACGTAGCCATTTCCTTATTAGATTGCCATTTGATCCCAGGTTGAAAGTGGAGCAATTAATATCACCTGCCATCGTTTTTATCAAGGGAGGGGTGAGTGTTGTCAATATCGCTATCGACATCAGCTCATTACAGAGACATTACTACGTGGTATAGTAGCAGCTGGACATTGACAAGGTTTCTCTGTTATCTGACCTTGTCAGTAGTTCTTCAGTGAGGTGAGACATGGAGGATGAGAAGACCTTTATAGCTTTACCTGAGAACTCTAGGGTTACTACAGTCGAACCTTGTGTTGAACTTAGATGTGTCAAATTCCCTGTTGTCTCAAACTTATTTGGGAGTCCCATGTATCCTAATTAATTATACACAAGGCTATTTAGAAAGTGGTCAAATGTAACAAATGTTATATTTGAAATTACACTTTCTTAGTAAAGTACAGATTCACATACTTTTTCGGGGTTGAGTCCTGTCAAGGATTCGAACCCACACTTGCCAGTGTGAGGCACCTAATCGCTTACGATCATTGTAGCGCTAACATTGCTGTGGAACGGGGCCCTGGTTCTTAATGTATAGCTTGTCGTCATGTTAAAAGTGAATTAGTTTAGGTGCTGTTAGACACATACACGTAGGGCAAAGTTAATAAAAAGAAATCTAACAAAATTGGTCCTTTAAATCTATCCAAATGGTTATACTAGTAACCAGATGCAAGCTTTCCAAAAGTATGTATTCTTTACAAAAAACATGGAGCTTTGGGGTAGCCTGGTAGTTTTAGCGTTCCATTCAATTCCCAATATAGGTGTCCATTGCTGGTGTTCCCTGCCATGATATTTTTGAAATATTGCCCAAAGTGGCGTAAAACCATACTCACTCACCACTAAACCATAATATTTATCACAGATTATAAAAGATTTTGTTTCAATACCGGACATCACTGCAGTGATGATGACATGGTTTATTACATCCTGATTCATTCATGGTGCAATACAAACACAACAACCATATGTGCACTCCTCGAGTGTCATTGTGTGATCACCAAGGCCTTGATATTGACGAGACTGATAACATGAACAGACACACATGACACTTGCTGTCACAGATGATGGGTTTGCTATAGACAACACCCTGGCACTGAGATGGAGGTGTACAGACAAGCACTCATACAGTATGAGACGAAAACTGTACATATTATGATGACAACTAATGAGCATGACAGTGAGTGGGCATTAACAGAATTTCCGTTTTATCAAGGTGTCAGCTTGCTTTTATACAATCAGGATGACCATCCTTCTGTGAAATCCAGGGACATAACATATTTTTGGCCGTGCCAAAAATGTTTAATCCTGCTAGTCGGAACTTCACTCATGGTACAATTTTTATTTATAATTTAGTGTTAGTACAAGACCAAACAGAATTTTACTTGACTCAGGCTTGGAAAAGTGGTTGAAGTCTCAGATTGATGTTTTGTAAGTTGTGACATGAAGTCTTAGCATGTCTTCCTTTGCACAGATCTATATGATGGTATCCTACAGAGCGTTTCACAAAAACATGGTCCATGTTTATTTTTTTTCAATTCACTCGTTTTTTTTATGTGAACATGTCTTTGATTTCATTTGTCTATAAAGGTTATAGTGTGACGCAACAAAATTACATTTTTACCTTGGGTTTGTTTTCTGCTTTTGGCTGAGATTTTTTAATTATCGAAATAGTTTGGTCGCTTTTATTTCTTTATACGTAGCGTGTGTAACGATTTACGGCTTCACGTTTTGATTTATATTAGTCAGATGAAGGAAACACTTGATGATAACCTTTGAATTTTTAAAGCCACATGAATAGTTTGAAAAGAACAAAACAGTTTTTCTTGTTGTTGATAGTGTTATAAATCTCTGTGTAAATATTTTATGACATATATCTTTATATTAATCTCGTCTTAGTATTCTGTTGGATTTTGAGGGATTTGTGGTTCTGACAGAATAATCTATCTTGGCATTATGCTGCAGAAAATCTGCTGATTATGTGCATAGAAACTAGCTTCAAGAACAACCATGTGTTGAATATGTATGAATGGTTGCTTGCTCCTTATGCAGTGTTTATGAATATCATCACAGTCATTAGTTGATGTAGAATCTGCAGGTAATCAACTCAGTTGATTACTGGTAAGTGTTAAAAAGAAATAGTCATAATTTGCAAAAAATGTTTATTTCGACAATTATGTTTATGATGATTTATTTTGTATAATTCACAGATCCATTTAATGGCATTAGTGTTAAAAATATAATATTCATAATTTCTGAAAAAATGCATTTGTAAAGACAATTATGTTTATAATGATTTTATTTTGTATAATTCACAGATCCAATTAATGGTAAGTAATGTGTGTAGTGATAATGATTAGTATTTGTATATTCACCTTCTGACAGATAAATAACTCATATTGACCTATGAAACAAACTCCTCACTGTATATGTTAAATATCTTGTTTGTTGTGTGTGGCATGATTATATGTAAAACTCACAATTGTTATATATATACACACATATATTAACCAATATTTCATCTATTTCTCAATATCTAACCACTTTGTAGAACTCCCAGTGAAATTACTTTAGTTATTACTAAAAAAGCATTTATTAATATAGATATCTACCAGTATACCATGTTGTCAAATAATTCACGGATCACGATATTAATCATGTTTTAAGTAGTACAAACATATATTATATGATTAATCACTTAGAAACAATTTATGCCATGTGGGCAGCGGAATTGCCAATTGTATCCTTTCTTACAACCTAAAGATAACATTAACCAGGCGCAGACTGTTCATTCTCATATAAAAGTGGCGGTGGGGTAGCCAAGTGGTTAAAGTGTTCACTCGTCAAGCTGAAGATCAGGGTTCGAGTCCCCACATGGGCATAATGTGTGAAGCCTATTTCTGGTATCCCCTGCCACGATATTGCTGGATTATTGCTAAAAGTAGCGTAAAACATTCTCATTTACTCATTTATAAACATCGAAACAAATAAAAATTTATAATACTAGAACCCGGAATGTACTCAGCAAGTACCTGTCATTTGTATCAAGTTCCAATATGACAGTACATGTCAGGTTTTGATAGTTTCATTCTGAATACAGTGATTACTTCCCTGAAAGTAAAATGACATTTGAGAAACTTAATATCTATATATATGGACAAATGTTAATGCTCACAAATTCATCCTCTTGCATGGAAGTGATGGGGTAGAAAGGATCCCCTTGCTGCAGTCTACAAGACTGAAATGTCATGAATCCATCATGGAAGTGATGGGGTAGAAAGGATCCCCTTGCTGCAGTCTACAAGACTGAAATATCATGAATCCATCATGGAAGTGATGGGGTAGAAAGGATCCCCTTGCTGCAGTCTACAAGACTGAAATGTCATGAATCTATCATGGAAGTGATGGGGTAGAAAGGATCCCCTTGCTGCAGTCTACAAGACTGAAATGTCATGAATCTATCATGGAAGTGATGGGGTAGAAAGAATCCCCTTGCTGCAGTCTACAAGACTGAAATGTCATGAATCCATCATGGAAGTGATGGGGTAGAAAGAATCCCCTTGCTGCAGTCTACAAGACTGAAATGTCATGAATCCATCATGGAAGTGATGGGGTAGAAAGGATCCCCTTGCTGCAGTCTACAAGACTGAAATGTCATGAATCCATCATGGAAGTGATGGGGTAGAAAGGATCCCCTTGCTGCAGTCTACAAGACTGAAATATCATGAATCCATCATGGAAGTGATGGGGTAGAAAGGATCCCCTTGCTGCAGTCTACAAGACTGAAATGTCATGAATCTATCATGGAAGTGATGGGGTAGAAAGGATCCCCTTGCTGCAGTCTACAAGACTGAAATGTCATGAATCTATCATGGAAGTGATGGGGTAGAAAGAATCCCCTTGCTGCAGTCTACAAGACTGAAATGTCATGAATCCATCATGGAAGTGATGGGGTAGAAAGGATCCCCTTGCTGCAGTCTACAAGACTGAAATGTCATGAATCTATCATGGAAGTGATGGGGTAGAAAGGATCCCCTTGCTGCAGTCTACAAGACTGAAATGTCATGAATCCATCATGGAAGTGATGGGGTAGAAAGGATCCCCTTGCTGCAGTCTACAAGACTGAAATGTCATGAATCCATCATGGAAGTGATGGGGTAGAAAGGATCCCCTTGCTGCAGTCTACAAGACTGAAATGTCATGAATCCATCATGGAAGTGATGGGGTAGAAAGGATCCCCTTGCTGCAGTCTACAAGACTGAAATGTCATGAATCTATCATGGAAGTGGGGGCACGGGTGGCCCAGTCGTCTAAGGCACCGCGATTCGCTGTGCAGAGTTGCGTCCCTTGGGCACTCCAGAAACCTATGATTGTGGGTTCGAATCCAGGTTCGCCCCGATTATGTTTCTAGGTTTGTCAGCACAATACCCGTGCTCGTGGGTTTCACCGAAGTGGTAAACGTCCGAGACCTGCATCACTTCGGGCTTTCCTCCCACATTAAGCTGACACGCCGCGATATATAACTGGAATACTGTTAAAAGCAGCATTAAACCAAACTCACTCACTCACTCACTATCATGGAAGTGATTGGGTAGAAAGGATCCCATAGCTGCAGTCTACAAGAGTGAAATGTCATGAAACTGTGACCACATTTTCAAACTTTATGCACTCACTCACTTTCTTGGCCCCTCTACTATGTATACTTCAGGTTCCATGTTCTTCAGCAGGTCTTCAACTGTGGCAGACATGCAGTGTCTATGTAGATTGTTACACTTTGAATTTTAAAACATGCTAAAAATGCTTTGAGAGGTTTTGCAATTGATGTATATTTGTGAAAAGGGGAGACTTTTTGCAAGTTTCAAAACCTTTGAATATTTGACAGGGATTTACATCTACTTTGTTGCATTCCTGACACTTAGAGGGATCAGGGCAGGATCTTAGGCATTCTTCTAACAACAGCTCACAAAATGTATTGTACTTGGTGATCTCCTGAGGAGGACAGTTTGGCTTACAAGTACAAAGCCAAAGAGATGTCAGAATTTGTCTCCTCAGTTGGTGTTACTCTGACCATGGACATGTCTATCGGGCCAATCCATTCATACTGAAATTAGATATTATGGAAATGGGATTTCATCCAATAGCATTTACTATATAGGGCAAAAGGAAAGGCCTTATTGCAGTCCAGATATTTGAATATAAAGTTTCTTAAATGTTGTTTTACTTATTAGGAAGTACTTGCTGCTTTCAGAAAGAAACTATGTAAACTTGATTTATGAAGTGTAATATTGAAATTAGATATCTATGTAGATATGCAAATTCATCATCTTACATTAACATATCAGGGCAAAAGGAAGCACCTTGTTGCAGTCCAGCTATTTAAATATTAAGTTTCTTTGATGCAATTTTACTTTCAGGGAAGTCATCACTGTATTCAGAATGAAACTATCAAAACTTGATGTATGGAGTGTGATAGAATAACAGGATATGGATGTTGATATGCAAATTCATCATCTTGCATGGAAATGAAGGGGTAGAAAGGATCACCTTGCTGCAGTCCAGAGGACTGAAATGTCATGAAACTTTTAAGGAAGTACTGGTTGCTTTTAGAATGAAACAATCAAAGCTTGACGTATATGATATGTTAAAATTCAGTCTGGAAGAGGAAATGTCACAAAAGGTTTTAATCTTGATTTCATTCATTCTTTTGTGAATATAAATTAGATGTGAAAAAGAGGGTGAACCAAAATACATGATTGAGAACTTAATGCATGCACTCTTTTCCTGTTGAACTAAATCATAAGTGGTTTCAAACAGATCTTGCTATATAACCGTATGTAGTTATGTTGAATGTTTTGGTTTCAGTCAGTATGACTGAGATATCATCTATGTTTTGTCTGTTTCATTGTCAGATTTATTGTTTGTCACAGTTGCCAATTGCTTGCTGATCTGATGCAGCTTATGATAAATTGTGTGCAAATATTTTGCTGAATTTTGACATTGCTGTGGATTGTCAGCGTCTGAGCATTTTCTTAAAAAACATTTTCGATCTTTGTTGTAATGTAACATGTCAGAATTTAAGCAGTGCAATATTTTTAGATTTCCAGACAGGCGAATGGTAGTTTGAATAAGGATTTGTAACATTCCTCACATAAAAGAGCAGTGAAAGTTAGGTGTCTATTTGCTGGATCCTGTCAATCATCTACTGTGTGTGGAACAGAGTGTTTCTTGTGCTTTCAACAGTTTTGAAAAGAGCAGCGAAAGTTAGGTGTCTATTTGATGGATCCCCTCAATCATCTACTGTGTGTGGAGTGTTTCTAGTGCTTTCAACAGTTTCAAAGTCATGTAACTTTACACTTGTAATCTAAGACGTTTGACTTAAAAAAATATTCTCGACAGTTTAGATGCTCAAATATCCTAATTTTCATCTGCAATATTTTTGTTTATATTTTTCAAACTTGAAAAGATTAATTGAATTATTTCTATCCATTTAAAATGATTTTCTAGTTTAGAAAAACCAAATGAGTTTAGATATTAATTTTCATTTCCTTCAAGTGAATCATATGCCCTGGAAAAATTAGGAGAGGACTAGTAATCTTGATATATTGAGACATATGACAAAAGAACATATACAAATGTGATCCAGTATCTTTAATGCAGCTAAAATCACTTCCATTGGAAATGCAAATTTAATAGCCAGATATCAAAATGTATATCAATGTTACTGTTTATACTTTTAAAACTTGGTTACCTAAATCGGAAGAATGAAAGAATGTTTTCTTTTTAGTCAATAATGAGAGAAAATAAAGCCACTGTTCAGTCTTCTCAAACAGAGATCAGTAAATACTTGACTTGACTTGTACACAGTATATTTGTTGTCACGGATCTGCCCGCCGACGTTATAAATAATATGAAATTGACGACAGGAGAGGATGTCCGGTGTTTAGTGTCCACATTGACCACTGATAAAATGACACAATTTCTCATCCCAGAGTGTTTAGAGACAAATCATGTACACTTTATCCTCATAGATCAAGAGTTAGAAGATAAGAGTGTGTAAGAGTTGTAAATCCTGTTTGATCCTTGTGATTGGCTTGGATTAATGACTTTACTGTACTGTTTAGCATGTTCCCAGCTTATCTTTGTAAACCCGCTCATTGGATGATCGTAAGGTAGCATATTTCATGGGATTTTCCCCCCAAATCTATCCGAACAATTTCTGTTGTGGAACCGTGGAAAATTTAGTTCCTGATTTGGCTGGTACTTTTTACCACCCAGTACTGTTTGTGCCCGTACTGTACACCTCAGATGATCCTAAGTGATGGGAATTATG